ACATGCAATTATCCAATTTGTACGGGAAATCTCAAAATCATTTGAAAAATCACAATATATTCTAGGACTTTTTATTGATCTATCAAAAGCTTTTGATACGGTTGACCACCAAATTCTAATCCATAAACTTAAACACTATGGAATAAAAAATAAAGTTTTAAAATGGTTTGAAAGCTATTTGTCAAATCGTAAACAATTTGTTCCGAGTAATGACGGTTATCACACCAATTGTCTTTCTATAACATGTGGAGTCCCACAAGGCTCAATTCTTGGTCCACTCCTTTTCCTAATTTATATTAATGATTTAAATAAAGCCTCTAAACTAACAAGTATTATGTTTGCAGATGATACTAACTTATTTCTTTCTAACAGTGATATCTTTGAACTTTTTAAAACAATGAACAAAGAGCTTATACATGTATCGAGTTGGTTTAAATGTAATAAGTTAACTCTAAATTCTAATAAAACAAAGTGGACCTTATTCCATTCGCTTTCCAAATTTTCAAATTTTTCAAACTTTTCCAAATCTGTCTTCAAAGATATTTTTACTCCGAAACCCATCAATTTCTCATCAAACCCATCATTTCTCACGCAAAACATTATTTTATTGAAATGAGAATTTTAAATATATACGAGCTAAATATATATAATGTTTTATGCTTTGTATACATGTGGAAAAATGACTTGTCTCAATCTGTCTTCAAAGATATTTTTACTCCGAAACCCATCAACAAATACAATTTGAGAAATACTGATTTTTTAAATGAACCTTTAAAAAAAAACGATATTTGCCATTAAACTTACCTAAAATTTTTATTGATCAAAATGAAATAAAAAGGGATTCCGTAACAAAATTTTTAGGTGTTTACCTTGATGAAAACATCACTTGAAATCATCATATCGACTACATAAGCACTAAAATTTCAAAAAACATAGGAGTTTTATATAAAGCACGAATCTACCTCAATAAGAAAATTTTAATCAAACTTTATTATTCATTTATACACAGTTATTTAAATTATGCTAATATCGCCTGGGGTAGTACAGAAAAAGTAAGTTGCAACGTCTTTATCGCCGTCAGAAACATGCTATCCGTTTAATCTGCTTTGCAAATCGCTTTTCTCACGCAAAACATTATTTTATTGAAATGAGAATTTTAAATATATACGAGCTAAATATATATAATGTTTTATGCTTTGTATACATGTGGAAAAATGACTTGTCTCAATCTGTCTTCAAAGATATTTTTACTCCGAAACCCATCAACAAATACAATTTGAGAAATACTGATTTTTTAAATGAACCTTTCTGTCAAACGAACTTTAATCAATTTTGTATTGTCTATCGGGCACCACACCTTTGGAATAAAATTGTTTTGCCCAATTTTGATTTCGAACTACCCATTACTTTTCGTTTTTTTAAAAGTAAATTAAAAACCCTAATTTTTTCATTAGAAGACGTATTATGTTATTATTAATAATATAAATTAATAACTTTGCCTTTTCTTATTTATATTTGTAAAAAGTTTATTCTTACTTATTTTGTTGATTTTATATTCTTTACTTCACGTATACGTTTATATAAAATATTAGTGAGTAGATCCGCGTGATCTCTCTTTGGATTATAAAATATATATTTGGATTATATATATATGAAATTTGTAAAAATTTGATACTGTTAATGCTTGTTTGAACTTATTTAAGGTTCTGACGACAAGATCCTTTGATCTTCTTTCAGATACCTTATTTTATATTTGTGAAAGTTTATTATAATCATCATTTTTTTTTTTTTTTTTTTTTTTGGCAATATATAGTTGTAATACGACCAACAAATGTAAAATTAAAAAAAAAAAAAAAAAAAGGGTGCGCCGAGTACAGGTCCGCCCAATTTTTATAAATAATATCATCTATAAAAATACTGTATAACCTTCGTCTATTAGATAAATTTAAATAAACGTTTATATAATGAATAATAATAAACCACCAGCAATTGTTAAAACTTTAAACTGATATGAATACTCTGTTGTTTTTTTTAACAATTGATTTTAAATGGATTTCAAAGTTAGTGACACCAACTTTGAAATCCAACAAAATTTTTTTGTTAAGTTCATAAACTTAAATGTTCTCAAATCGATTAAAAAACCTGGCCAGTTTTTCGCAACTAAATATAATTTCCATGGTCAGTATTCGAGAGCAATCGATCCCGCTTCCCAACCAAGCCTGTGGTGTAAGCTTTAATATGTTGATTATTACACAATAAAATGTTAATAAACACTCTAACTTTTTGACTATAATATATGAAAAAGTCTTTAAAATTGTAAAAGTTAAACCTATGAAAAAAGATTTTCAATCATCAGACATAAAGACTTTTATATAAAAACTTACCATTTAATAAATTTTGTTCATTCAGCTTCTCAGAGCAAACATTGAACTTCTGTAAAGAGTTTAGAGTTGCAGGTAAATTCCAAACTTTAATAGTATTTTTTGTTTAATTATAAGAAATTGAGGATAAATCATCTACACCAAGATATACACAATTTTTTGTCTCTTTAATCTTTATTTTGGCTGGTCATTTTCGCTGTCTTCCTTTTTTGTCTCCAGAACAGAAGTTTAACACGGCTGTTTCAGAGTGGACATACGGCTTCTTGTTATTTTTTGAAAATAGTTACTTAGGGGGTGTTACTAAAACTTTCATAACTTTTGAAATATTAAAGATAAATACGTTCTGTAAAAAGAATATGAACACTGACTAAATGTTTTATATTTTATCATTCAATATAATAATCCAAGGCTGCTCTGATTTTAAATAAACGCGCAAAATGACGAACTTGGCAGAATTTCGAAATTTTAATGGTACTTTTTAGTAAAATTAATCAGAAAAATTATATTTCTTCTGACTAATATGTAATATAAACATAGCTAGACTAATTATAAAACACATTAACATTATTTACACCAAATGCGAACTGATACAGCCACTACAATAGGCGAAATAAAAAAATCCCAAAATACTTTCTTTTTTTTTTACGTAAAGTATTTAACGTCACGTGACTGCTTTAAAATATAAACAAAAATTTACGTATTAAACTAGAAAAATTTGTTTCTAAATCAGCCAAGTTTGAAAATATATGTCATAACATAGCTAGAGGTACATATTATAATTTTTTGATTTTTATATAAAGAAAGGATTGAAATTTCAATAATATGGTGCAGAGTTCAAAAATAATACGATTTGCATTTTAAATTGATAAAATTAAAATATAAATGCATTGAAAACTAATTTTTATAAATAAATTACAAACTATGCACCAAAAATCAGTTAGAATAGACGTTTATTGATAAGTATTCCAAATTTTAATCATCAAGCATGTAGCTATGTTATGAAATCTTAGTTGGCCCAAGACAGGTTTTTTGTAAAAATCGCAAAAAACAGAAAAGTGATTCCAAATCAATAGCAATATTTTAACAATATTTACTTTTATTCCGTTTAATGTAAATATTTATATAACAAGAAAAGATATTTCTTCTATATACTTTTTATTTGAAGATAAAAGCGATAACAGAAAAAAAATGCTAATATTTTAAAGTTCGTACATTTTTATACTTTATATGCCGAACTTTATAATACTTTTTATGCGGAAATTGTTTTTGCTAAACTCGTGACGTAATGCCCATTTTTACATTGAGTGAAACAGCCGTGTTAGCCTTCTGCTAAATTCAATCTTGTATTGCTTTAAAAATCTATAAATAAAATCATTAATAATTAAGTTATAACTAAAGTTAGTGTATAAGCTTAAAGCTGTTAACTGTTGTACGCAAACAAAATATGAATAATATCCAGAGATATTAAATTAAAAAATAATAAAACCAAGAATAATGTCCCTCTGCTATTTTTAAAAATGTTTTGCAACAAATTTAAAAATATATACTAATCCGCAACTACATTGGCCGAGTATTGGCTACGGCATAAATGTAAGAACAGCAAATTATTAAGCCTAAACTGCATTGGCCAAATGTTGGCCCAACGTAGTACGATAATTGCAAAAAATCGATTTGTAGAATTGCAATATTACGCCTGAAAAAAAGCATTGGCTAAATGTTGGCCCAATATAGTACGATATTTGGAAAAAACCGATTTGCAGAATTGAAATTCCCCCCCCCCCCCTTACTAGATCGTCTGCATCCCCAAATCGAAAAAAAAATTTTAAATCGCCTTTACAACTTTTACTGCAAGTCCGCCATTTTCGATAGAAAACTATTTTCAAAATATTTTAATTCAGTCTCTTTGTCTTTGCAAGATAAAACTATTCAGAAACTTTTGTGTAAATTAAGTGTATATTTCAGTCATTAAAATGTTTTAAAAGTGTGTGTATATTTACTTTTTTTTTGCTGAATGTTTTAATAGCATTATTATATAGTCACCTATAATTTGTTTTCTAATTTTTTCATAATAAATTAAATAATACGCAATCGTTTTTTTTGTTTATTAATGATATCAGCTAATTAATTTAATTTCCTCAAAACGGCCTTTAACTAGAATTTTAAGCCAAAGAAATACCTCTTAATATTAATTTGTGATGCTCTATTGTACAAAATATCATAATAACCATAGAAGGATGTTTATAGCATCATTGATAATAACCATAAAAGAATGTTTATGGCATTACTAGTAACCAAACTGATTACACATTACAATTTGGACTAAAATATAATCAAAGAATATATATTTTTATCAAATAACAGCTTTTTTTCTGAAAAATAGATATCTATTGAATGTTCTCTATTAGTTAGCAATTCATTTGTAAATGAATTCTTACAGGTATATATATTAGGTGGTCTTTAACTTTTGGATGGCAAGTTAAGTATGCCTTGAATAAAAAGAATATTTCTTTTTATTCAAGGTATACTTAACTTGCTATCAAGGATCAGTTCAACGCATAAATCAAAAATTCAAATACAATAATTTAAAATGATAAAAATAAATACAAAAATACAACGGTGTATTCAAATTTTCTTGATATTTATTTAATTTATTCCGTAAAACTAAAGAATTTAACCACGTCTTTAATTACTCCTCGCCTAACCAATACACCTCCACTAATGTAACTCACTTCACCAACATTAAATATGTTATACTGACATATTGACATATTTATCAGTTCTATTTACAATGCAAATAATAAATTGACAAAAGAAAATTTAAAAACGTTGCAAATTAGCTTTCTGACTATGATGTGACACCCATTCAATCAACATCGAAGTTTTCAGTAATGCAAAACAAATTTTCTCTTTAAAAACCACTTATTTTATCAAAAATAGCTAATGACAACTACTTGGGTGCGTCTGTATTTAACGATATCTAAAAATTCAAACAAATAAGTAAAGGTTAATATAGTACATAAAGTACGCACGCTTTTATTTCGACCCTCCCTCCCCCGCATTTTGCTGTACGCTTTTTGAGTACCCGCCACCTCTCTAAAAGTACCTACGCTTTTAACCTACCTACCCAACATTTTATGATATTTATTTTATTTTAGTGTCTCCTTATTTTATAGTTGACCACCTGTACCGCATCTCATATAGGCCATTTGCAGACCCCTCACCTCCATCAAAGCGTACGTACTTTATAGACGATTCCTAACAGTACAATATATTTATATATAAAAAAATCCTGCATATTGTTTTGTTGTTCATCATACTTTTTCATACAAAATACACAGATATATATATATATATATATATATATGTATATATATATATATATATATATATATATATATATATATATATATATATATATATATATATATATATATATATATATATATGAATATATATATATATATGTGTATGAATATATATATAAAAAGTATATATATATGAATGTATATATATATATATATATATGAATATATATATAAAATATACAGATTCGTGGCTAGGCTCCACACACAACCTTACTGGGGGACAATTTTAGGGGGCCCATTATGAAATTTAGGGGCCGTTTTGCAAAACTAGGTTTTTTTTGTTGGTGATACCTATTAGAGAAATTTTTAAAAATCTGGGGTCCTAATAGCAGGTTTTATGATTGAAGGAGGGGGGACCCTCCAACCCACTTGTCACGGCAATGAGTATAAACTGAAATTTAAGTACATAAAAAATGTATTCAACATTAGTTTAAATTTAATTTCGATAAGTTGCTATATTTGTTGAAAATTAATTTAATGTCTTTACCATACCTGACCTAAAAAATAAAAATGATTTGAATATGGCAAAATTTCAGAAAGTTACTCAAGTAAAAACTTCTTTAAAATTAATGTTGTAGCTTTCAGTGGCATCTTGAACTTTTTAAATTCTTTGTTCAATTTATTATTTTAAAGTTTATAGTTAAGAGTTTATAATCAACATATGAATTTATAGTTGAGAGTTTATAATCAACATATGAAGGAGTGATGTGCAATTTTTCTTTCGTTGGTAATTGGCTTTTTTTTAAGAATAGTTTGTAAAAAATATAACTTGAGTTTGTTTAACTAAAACATGTTTCTATTTACGACAACATAATTCAATGGCAAGAGAAATTATTTAATAATTCTTAATAATAATCATGGTATAAGCAGTCATAGCGGAGGAGGGGGAGGGAAGTATTCACTCCTCAGATCCCTGAAAGATGTCAATGACATCAGAAGACATCAGAAAATGACATCAGAAAAGCAGTTTTACTTATTACTTTTACAAATCAGACTTGGGCTAATTTTATTTAAATAAATTTTATTTAAATAAATTTTATTTAAATAAATTTTATTTAAATAAATTTTATTTAAATAAATTTTATTTAAATAAATTTTATTTAAATAAATTTTATTTAAATAAATTTTATTTAAATAAATTTTATTTAAATAAATTTTATTTAAATTTTATTTGAATTTTATTTAAATAAATTTTATTTAATTAAAGAACATGATTTATTTTTTTAACTACGGAACATTAATTTACTAACACAACTTAATTATATACAAAAAATGCAAGGTTGCATTTATTATAGTAATAGACTATTAACAATTATTTGAGAAGATAGCTGCTTCAGAGTTGTTATGTAGCTAAAGTAACATCCTTCAATAGCCTGAAGAATCTTTGAGTTCAGAGAAAGATGTCAATGACATCAGAAGACTTAAAATATAAACAAAACATTGTTATAGAAACAGAAGAATACAAAAAATGTAACAAGCCTAAAGTAGAAAAGATGCCAGCAAATCGATTATTTTTGGTAAACCAAAAATAATCGATTTTTGAATTTATGAATGGAAAATACTTATAAAAAAAAAGTCACAAATGCACTTTTTTCTTTACAAAACCCGATAAACAATATATGGGTGAATGGAATAAACATACTTAAACAATATATGGGTGAATGGAAAAAATATTATATCAACCACAATTTTTAAAACACATAAGAGACTAAATATACTTCAGATCTAAAAGACAAAAAATATTCCCAATTAAAATGGTCTTTTCAAAAAATGCTTCTGTTTACAATGTTTCCACAAAACCTGATCCAAGTTACAATGTTTCCACAAAACCTGCTTCAAGTTACAATGTTTCCAAAACATTTATACTATTTATGAAAGAAAATTTTAAAATTATTATTCGTTTGGATCAAGAAAAATTTATTTCTAAATTCAGGCATGAAAATAAGTTCCTATCAAACATTTTCAATTATATAAAAAAGACTTAACTAAAACTATCCATGATGATTAGTAAAGAATTTAAATTTTACAAATTGTTGTAGTTACTGTAACTTACTACAATATTTTGTAAAATAACCAATTTAAAAAAAAAAAATAGATATGGATTTATAGCTGTGAAAATATTCTCATAGAGAAGATATACTTGTCTAAAATACTTTTAGAAGCTATACTTGTAAAAAAAAAGCAACCATTGTAGGCTGGACTCTAGCAATATATCACTTCTATCGATTTTAATACATTTCACAAATACATTATTAAAAAGATAGTCCAGGGACCACTTTTTATCATGCATAAAAACTTTAACTCTACACTTATTTCATTGAACCTTACTTTTGTTAGGTGTGCAATAATATATAAAAGAATAAAAATTTTAAATTTTGTATGCATTTAACATAGCCTGGTGGTTGTAGCCTTTAGTTTTTTACTACTAAACAAAACAACTTTGTCAAACTTTATGAAGCAAATTACTAGGTAAAAAAAATATTTGTTGTATGTATCAAATATTGATCTAAAGCTAAATTTTGTAGTTTTTAAATATAATGTGTTACAAGTTTTGTATTTTATTATATGTAATACATTTATTTATTGTAGTAACGGTCGTAGCAAAACTACTAAAAAAATAACTAACTACAAATTAATAAACAACCAATGATAGGATGAATGATGTAAAAAAAATGATTAGTGGATATAGGAACCAAGTAACAGTTCAGGGTTGCCACTAGATCATTACCATCAACGAGAGCATTATCATCCTTACTCAAACACAATCTCTATATTTGATAAACTAAAACTTTTACAATAACACCTACATCTTGCAAACTTATAATTATATGTATTAGCAAAATATTAAAAAAAAAAAATTATTGCACAAAATTTCTAAAAAAAATTATTTTCCTTGAGTTTTCCCTAGATCTTATAAATTTTTGTCCCTTTTAAAAAATCCCAAGAGTTTTCCAGGTTTTCCCTGGGATTCATGCTATTTCCAGGTATTCCAATTTGAGTGACAACCCTACGGTTGAACTCTTGTAATCCAAACTCCTATAATTCAAAAGATCATTTGAATAAAACAAAATCCTTAGTCCCTTCATTATTTCTTTATTATATAAAATTGAACTTCTATAATTGGAAAACTCTTATAATTCAAAAATAATTTCCCATGAAGATTTGAATTATAGAAGTTTAACTGTAAGTTAAAATTAAACACTTGATAACATAATCAAGGTATCTGATTATTTTTGTTGATACTGAGGTTGATTTAAATAGAGTAGGTGAAAGCACACTATTAACTTTATTTAAAATAAACATTTTAAAATTAAATTCACCTCCATAAGACTCCAGAGACTCTGCTAGGGTTAAGGAGACCCAATTTTTTTTTAAATTTATCTATTTTATTTGCTATTTCTTTTAACCATAAACCCTGAAACAGGAACCAAACAAGATTAAGCGGTTTTGTATGTATATATATATATATATATATATATATATATATATATATATATATATATATATATATATATATATATATATATATATATATATATATATATATATATATATCAGGCCTTGCGATAAAGCGTCGGGCGATGTGAATTTTACGTCGTCCAAGGGCGATTTTGCGTGTAGCTAGGGCTATTTGCGTCGAGCAAAAAATTTTTTGTTTGAGTATATTTAAAGATATTTTTGAGCGGAATTTTAATGAAGTAATTTACGATTATTTTAACATTTAATAAAGTATTTTAAAAACCGCACGCAGTTGAAATAAAAGTTTGAATTTAAAAAAATTAAATATGCTCATTATTTACAAGTAGAAAAAATTCAAAAATTAAAAAAAAAGTTTAAATCTTTTAAGCTAACATTTTAATAAAATTATTCAGCAATAGCAACGTTGTCGATAAAATTGAACAAAAATACTTTCTTTTAGTTTTAGATTTTAAACTTAAATAATTATTTTACAGGGGTTTGATAGGTTTTAAAATTATTCCATAGATTTAAAAATATTTATTAACTGTTAGACGTATTTAAAGTATTTAAGAGTGATTTCGAGGAAACATTTTAAAAATTGGTGAGGGCAAATAAAAAAAAAAAAGATTAATATTAAAACGTATTCTACTTGATTCAATAAAAAAGTACAGTTATTAAAATTTTTGTAAAAAGTAACTCAAAAAAATTACTTAAATAATAACGATCGCTTTTATGTTAAAAGTTACCGAAACTCATCGAAGCGTGCTCAAGAACAGCTGCTGAAAAATAGAACGTCAATAGTTTTTCGAATAATTTTTAAGAATAATTTTTAAGAATAATTTTTTCGCTGAAATATTTCTTTTATACCTATAAGATTTTTATTCTAACATTTTATTTTATTTTACTAGAAATAAAATTCCTTGTTAGCATTAAAAATCTATTCAAAACGTTCGTTTAAGTTTTTTATTAATACGAGTGATTGTGCTTATCAACCGCTTTATGAAAATAAATAAAAATAAATAAATAAATATTATATAAAATCGCTTGTAAAAATATTAGCTATTGCACAGTTTTTAATCGTACAATATTAAAACTTCCAGTTTATTACTCGCTGACTTTTTAAAAAGAAAAAATAATTATTTGAAAAACTTTAAATTACATATTTAAGAAAAAAAAATTCAAATATTAGCATATTTTATAATCTTTTTTAAATTTAAGTTATAATGTTTTTTATTCGTTTAGTATAGACAAAACGTGACAAACGTCGAGAAAATAAACAAATGTTTTTACATTTTAAAAAACGAAACATTCCAAAACATTTTTAAATAATAACATTTCTACCTAAACGATTTAAAGTAGTTTTGCGGTAATTAAATAAATTGGTGCAGTTAATGTCGATAAATATGAAAAGCAAATAAAAAGAATTTAATGACGTCAAAAATCACGTCGTGCTTATGCGTCGCGCAGTTCTTATTCATCGCAAGGCCTGATATATATATATATATATATATATATATATATATATATATATATATATATATATATATATATACAAAACCGCTTAATCTTAATTTGTTTATTTACTTATATAATAACATTCACCTGATTAAGGATTTGTCGACCTAAAAAAGATCCTGCCATACTTTTCATGTCTTTGCCAGCATCTTTTTTACATTTCACATATCCAATTAAATTAGCTGATGTTAATATTATTGCAACTAAGACAATAAGCTAAACAAAATAAAAAACACAGAACTTTAAAAACTATTCTAAAACATTAAAAGATTTACAAGTTAATATTAGATCAGAAAAAAAAAATTGAAACAAGAAAAAAGTTTAATAGAAATTTTATAAACAAAAAGGTTGAACTGCAATTTGTTTTGTAAAAACTATGTTTAGGTAAAGCTTTGATGCCAGCAGATCAAAAAACTGAACATAAATGTTTATGTTAACCTAGTTTTTAGGTGTAATAGATTAGGAAACATTTTTCTTATTCTGGTAAACTGGCTGGTGAACTTTAACTTTTTTTTCAGCTAATCTTTATCACAATAATCAAGACCTTCATTTAGGAAGGGTACTTGAGCAGCCATCTACCTTTATGAAGGGTACAGTTATCTACCTTATGAAGGGTACAGTCATCTACCTTTCATCTTTTAGAATTAAATATTACTTCTAATTTTTCTTGGAAACCATATATCAAATCCATTGTAAAATTAGCATCTGCTAAAGTTGCATGTCTTTTTTTTTTTTTTTTTAATTTAATTCACCTCCTTAAGGCCAAGAAGGCCACTACAGACAAGGAGGGTACTTATTTTGTGGTTATAACCCTCTCTCAATTCTATAACTCTGAAACACGAACCTTGATGAACAAGGCCGCTGCGCAGAGAAACGAGTTGAGCGCGGTACTACCAGGGACGTGGTGGGGATCGAACTCGGAACCACTCGTTTATGAAGCGAGCGCTCTACCACTACACCATTTAATTTATTGTGTTTGCTACTTTCTTACTCCAGATTCTATTCTTTATCTCTATAAATCTTAAATCTATGAAATACTGTTGCCATATCTGGAGAGGATTTGACAATGATACCCTTTTAAGGCGCAAAAATGCATTGTAAACATAGTTGGACCTGCTCTTGCAGCCTACCTTCAACCATTGTCACAACGTTGTAATGTTGCTGTCTCTTTTATCATCTACTAAAATTCATTCTTGTGTTACTCATCATTCAATCAAATCTTGTGTTACATTCAATCAAGTCCTTTTGCTGTGATAGATCCTAAGTGCTCCAAAAAACCTTTTTTTGTTTTTTTTCTTGAACATCAGTTCTTTGGATTTGGATTTCTATATCTTGTTTTCCTAATGCATATAATTTGCAATCTTTTAAATCCTCTGTCAATCGTTATCTTGCTTTATAAACTTCATCTTTTATCTTCCAGTAACTTCCAACTCTAATAGTGGTTGCCTTGTTGGAAGTGAAGATGTTTTACTTTCTGTAATAAAATCATTATGTTGTCATGAATTACCTCAAGATCAAAAAAAAAAGTGAATAAAAATAAGATTAGAAAATTTATAATTTACCAAGTGGCAAAGTTAGATTTTGCAAACCAAAAATATTAGAACTAAGAAGTCTTAAAAAATTGAGCGTATCCCCTTAATAATGCTGTGCAAAGCAACATTGATTAATCTCACTCAAATAAACTTTCATGTTACTAGTAGTAACATGAAAAAGTAGTTATGCAGCTGTTAGTGATAATTATAATTATGATAATTATGCTGTTACATGTTTTTAATTACAAATGCATCAATTGATTATTCATGATTAAATTTTTAAATGACATTAAAAATAGTAATATCTTTAATAATATTTCAATGTAATACATGAGACTTTATACCATACTTAATACTATGTAAAAATGTTCATGTTAAAGTTTTTAGAAACTGTAATCTAAGCAAACTGTTATACAAATAATAACTATATATTATAAAAATAACTTTTAAATCTAAATAACACAAAAATATAAATACTTACAATACTTTGGAGTTTCAAAGATGCCAATGCAACTATAAGCAAAAATGCCCAAAATATTGGAAATATCAACAAACCTAACCAAAAGAGACGAGATTCTGTTGGTATTGTTTTTGATAGCTCTCCTTTTTTTTTCTTTAACAAAAAAAAAATGTAATACAAAGATGTAATACAAAGTATATGTAAAGTAAAAATATGTAATATAAAATATATATAATACAAAAATATGTAATATAAAATATATATAATACAAAAATATGTAATATAAAATATATATAATACAAAAATATGTAATATAAAATATATATAATACAAAAATATGTAATACTATTGTAGTATTTATTATTATTATACTTATATACAGGGCTCAAAATAAAGTAGAAAATCACAAATTTTTAGTGATTTTTCTATGCCCACTGTTCAAATCACCATTCACTGTTCACATCACCTGTTATATTGTGTGAAAATGAAGGGAGGGGAGGAGAGTAAGTGAGAATAAGAGGAGGGAATTATAAAAAAAAATGTTTAAATAGTATCTAGCATGGTACTTATTCAATAAAAACTTTGCTCTTTAACAGTTTTTAATACTTGTGATTTTAAACAAATCAAAGTATCAAGTTTTAATACTAGGGTATTATATTATACATATATGTAACCAGATTTGATAATGCCTCTTGACAGCAAAATAAGATTTAGCCAAAATAGCAAATATTTGGGAAGGCAGAAGCAATTGGCAAGCTCTCCCAAAATATTTTGTAGAAGCAATAAATTCTGACTTCAGCCTCCAGTGGCTTCAGAACTGATTTTTTATTTACTCAGAGTGTTAAAAAAGGACCACAATGGGTGTCTTCGCTGGCATGCAGCTTGAACATTTCAAGAAATGAAATATGGGAGAAGATTCAAGAAGTTCAGCATATCAGATCAGTATTGACTGCACATTATTGAAAGTTATGTGCTTCAAAAGTTCTGGAGCTAGGTAGTTTTAACTTTTTTTTGTGCATCAACTTTTGATGCACAGAACTCTCAAGGACTGCAGTGTTGATTTTAGTTTGAGAGAAGAGGTGGTCTTAAGGTTGCCTATGTTTCTTTATCACCTAACTAATAATAATAGGCTGCAGTGTTGGTTTTAGTTGTAATATTTGTACCAAAAATTAGACTAATAAAAGCAATTTTAAGTCATGTTTTATAAGATAATTTAACATGTAATTATATTATAAACGTTGAAGTTTAACATGTAATTATATTATAAAAATTAGTAATTATATTGCAAGAATATTAATTAACTAACAATGAACATAAATTTTATACAATATTATTTATATATTTCTAAACTAGTAAGCATAATCTACATTTTACAATATTATATACAATTATTATTCATTAAACCAACCTCTTTGCCTAATACCATTTAACCCTCTGTTAACAATACATTGTATAATGTTTTATTGCTATAGCAGCTAATGTTCCTCAAATGATGATTAAAATCAGATCCCTTCTAATTCCAACACAAGTGATTCAAAGTAAAAGAAGATAAAAGTTCTATCAGATGCTGTATTATGTCTTGATTGAGTTAATATTTATGATTGCCATTCACTCTTCTTGGTTGGAACAGTGGCTCAGGCCACTCAGGCCTTGTCTTGGTCACCAGTAATCTCTGATACCATTGGTGGTCAAAAAGTGGATAGTATTGACATCCATGTGACTGGTGGTGGGATGGAAAAGTTGCTGGGTGTTCCAAAGATTGGTCAAGGTACAGGTGAGCAACAGGTTTATACTTGTATGAAGGCTCTTGAAGATTGGAAATTGAATGAACATGTTCAGGGACTGGTTTTTGACACTACTTTATCCAACACTGGGTTAAACATTGATGCATGCACAAAAATGGAGTGGAATCTTAACCACAATCCATAAACCGTATAATGTACAGCATACAAGCACCATGTGTTTGAAGTCATGCTTTCCACTATTTTAACAACTGCATTTGAAACCATTGGAAAACTTCAAGTAGAACGTTTTAACTAGGGATGCACCGAACGTTCGGCAAAACCAAACGTTCTGCTGTTTTGCCAACTTTCGGTTCGGCCGAACCTTGACAAATGTTCGGCCGAACATTTGCTAAAAATGCTAATTTGGAAATTAATATCATCAAATCATCATAACTCAGCCTAAATAGCTACAGTACCAATAGATATGGCTTTTTCTTGAAAACCCGATTCTTATCTACAACGCATAGTAGGTAAGAATATGTTTTTCAATAGAACACATGAGTACGTTAGATTTACATCAAGTTTTTTGAATTTAGAATAAACTTAATTTGATCGCATGTATTATTTAAAACCGAATGTATTACGTAAAACTATTTTACATCATTTAGAAAAAATAGTACTAGTATAAGTGTAAAATGAAAAATCCTTTCAATTGAGCAATATTTTAGTTAATTTTATCCTTTTATATACAATAATAATAATAATTAAACTTAACTTAAGTTATAAAATTCATGCAAGAAGCAAACTTTTTATTTTGGAAAAATCGCAAAAATGTAATATTATATAAAATAAACTTTATAAAGAAAATTGCTCGTAATTTGGCTACTCAACTATTTAAACTGAGAAAATTATTTGAAAGGAATAAACTTAGGGAAAAATGTTATTGTGGTGAATAAAAACATAAAAATGCTCTAATTTATTATGTAGTTATTACTATATAACTATATAACATATACTATTATGTTATTATTATATAACTAAACATGCAATAGTATTGAAGGAATAACATCTGACAAATATGATTCACGTTTACTGAAATTATAGGTTAAAGTTTTAAATGGTTCTAAAATATGCAACACTTTATCTAATAAGTCCCATTGAAATGAATTTAGTGTTAATTGGGTAGGATGATCTGCTGTATAAGTTGCCAAAGGAACTTTTTGATCAAGCATCCTTTCAATCATATCATAAGAACTGTTCCATCTTGTAGTAATATCTTGGATTAACCTGTGCTTATTTGTACCAAGTTGTTCCTGAATTGCTTCTAATTTTGCTGCTGCTATTGGGAAATGGTGAAAATGAGTTGCCAGACGTCAGCAACAAGCTAAAATATCCTTAACAGATTTTTGCGACAGAATTGAGTCATGTATACATAACTGTATTGTACGTATAAAACATGAAATTGATCTAAAACCACTGTCTCTTACACCAGCTACCATATTGGCCGCATTATCTCGTAAAACAATATGAATTTTTGAGTGTGGAATTTCAAAACTTACTAAACCTTTCTGTAAATACTCACTTATGTTTTTTCCTGTGTGACTTTCTGGAAAATGCATAACTCTGAGTACTGCTCTGTGCTGGGAAAATTCATTACTGAGTCAGTGTGCTGTCATGCTTATGAAGGCACCATTTGAACTATGTGCTGTCCAAATGTCAGTTGTAAGAGAGATATGAATGGCAGCAGATATATTACTCTTGATTGAACTAAATAATTTATTATATTTTTGTGGAATAATGTTTTCACTAAAATATCTCCTACTAGGTATTTGATAATTAGGACACAGCTCTTCAATTAATTTTCTAAAACCAAATTCTTCTACAATCGAATATGGTTGAATGTCCAACGCCATCATTTCTCCAATGTGATTGCGAATTTTTATAGCTCTTTGATCATTTACATCCCACAGCTTTTTTTTATTAAGACTCTCCAGTAATGTTAATTGTTTTTTTAATTCAGAATCACTTGATGTAGAGGCTGTAGATGTTTCAATTTTTTTTTTGTCAGACTCTTTTTCAGCTATTTTATACTCTGCAAAGTGCTTGTTTTTTAAATGACATCTAATTGCACTAGTGGTGAATGTTTTAGGACAATTTCCACCTCTAGAAAGTAATGCTTTGCATAGTAGGCAAATACAAAAATGATTATCTTCCTTTGAAACTTTAAAATATTTCTAAACAGTACTTTTAAATTTTATTTTTGAAGACATTTTTTTATGCTTATAAGTAATTAAAAGTATATACTAATAAATAAATATAGTTTAAGAAAAAAACATAATCTTAAAACATGCCAGATAGGTTTTAATACCTTATACTTTAATACCTTTATTTTTATTAGGTGACTTTTATATTTGTAGAATAGAGTACAAATTTAGCTTAAGTGTTATAACATATAAGCTAAGCTTTTAGTATAGTCTACAAATATAAAAGTTAGCTAAATAGCTTAACTTTAAGCCTTAACATTAACAATTAATAACTATTAAAATAAATCCTCAACGTAAAATCTTTTTTTAAGAAGTTTTATTTATAAATTACAATATAATTTTATTATATTATAATTGTTAATTAATTATATTCATCATTAATAAGTTATACTCATTATTAATAAGTCATACTCTTCATTTTTAAAATAAAAATATCTTAACATTTTTACTTCTTTACACTGCATTGTAGTGTAGTGACTACAAAGAATCATCTAATAATAAATTTACTTTTGATAGTTATTTAAAGTTTCTTCTAATATTTTCAAAATAAATCTAATGTTTTAAAAAACCCATTAAATTTTTAAAAATATAGTTTTCACTTCGAGTTCAAAATATTTTTGACGTAAACCAATGTTTATATTTAAAAAAAGCTAAAGTTCGGTATTCGGTTCCGTGTTCGGCCGAACTTTCATGGCCGAACGTTCGGATTCGGTGTTCGGCCAAAAACCGGGTTCGGTGCATTCCTAATTTTAACTGTTTCCAGAAACAATGGTTAGCAATCAACAAAGAGCTCTGCAGACAAAGAAAAACTTTTTAACTGTGATTTTTTAAATTAAATTCCGTGAAGAAATGTTAGCATGCAATTGTGAAGCAATTAAATATCAAAACCCAGAGATGATTACTTAGAACTCTTGAATTTGTGCATTTTTATTGGAGAATTAACTACAACATTAGAGTTTAATATAAACGTTTTGGGCTCCAGGTACAACACACAATGCACATTGGATGGCCGAAGCTATATATTGTCTAAAAATATTTTTGTTTCAGAATCAATCTGTTGTTACTGCAAGAAAAAATAAGTAATAACAGACTTAAGTCTTTTTATGGCATTTATATATAGACAGTTTTGAAATAAAGCTCGGTTAGCTAAACAAGCAACAATCAAGGATGCCAAGCTTCTTCAATGGATTCAAAAATATCCTAATAGTATAACTGCAAATGTTGCTACAAACATTTTTTAATGCTGTCTTATTTTTCTAACATTTAGTAAGATTTAGTTAACAACATCAAGAAAGACATGGCAAACAACCTAAAATAGCAGCCAAGGCAGAAATCTCTCAAAAGATTTGATGCTGCCACAATCGATTGTCATATTCCATTATCTTCTTTCATCACACAACACACAGCAGAGCTTTTCTATTAAATTTTGGAGAATGTAAAGAAAAAGCTGAACCATTTTTAATGAAAAAATCTTCAGAGTGGTAAATGGATTCAACTTATTTTGAAATGAAGCACAAGGTTTTTCAAAGGAAAGTCATCAATGATTTTGCTGAACAAGGCATGGCACTTATAACATTATTGCGATTATAATAGTACTGCAATAGATGTTTGCAGTAAATAACTGAGTTTTGTTGGAATCAAAACTCACAAGTCACTGCAAGCCCAAAGCTATTACAGAAAAGAGATCAAATTCAAGATCTCTTTTCTGTAATAAAGATCAATATTTGGTCAAAGAATTGTGGCAGAAAAGCCACAATTGAACAAATTGTTAAGCACTGTAATTTATTTGTTTTACTCAAATTATGTGGTACTCATTTGCTTAACTTCCATCGTTTCCCAAATAACGGTAGCACATATCTTACAACAAGTTTCTACAACTTTGGTACCAAGTTTGAATTCATAAAGTAAACAAGTAAAAATTATTGCATTTAACAATGCTAAATTCTAATAAAAATTTTACACTTTAATTCAAAGTAATTAAACTTATCAAGTACACTGAAAGATGATCTTTGAAATAACTTATATATATACACTTATTTACATATAAATAAAAAAAGCACGAACTTTATTGATTGCCTCATATCACTGCACTCCTTTAATAACTTTAGTGTTTATCACAATGAATAGCTTGGCTCCAATACCACTGATACTGTAGATACTAAAGCTCAAAACATGTCTTTTTCTACATCTTATTTCGATAATTCAGACAACCCAATCATCTTTACTCCTTGATTAGTGTCTGACTTTAATTTATGGTCAGTTTTTTTTAAAAAAAAAACCATGATATGATCTCATTATAATTTTTAACTCTTTTTCTACGTCATATTCACTCATAAAACTTCTTAGTTTCATTTTAGAGTTAACTGGGATGATTTTTCTTGATTACCGTTGGAGTGATATCTTACATCTCTCTGCAATAAATTTTGCTTTCTACATAATCGCCTTAATTCAGGCAAGCATGAAAACTTTTACTGCTTCTTTTTGATTTTAACTCTACTTCATGGTATTCTTTATTTTAAGCAACATCTATTTCTAATTATAACCATTTCTTTCATTTACTTTTTTTTTTTTTGTTAATTCACCTCCTCAAGGCCGAGAAGGCCACTACAGACAATGAGGCTACTTATTTGTGGTTATATAACCCTCTCTCAACTCTATAACTCCGAAACACAAACCTTGATGAACAAGGCCGCTGCGCGGAGAAACGAGTTGACTTTAAAAGTTAGTTTGCAATACTTTTGCGACCAAACAATTCTAATGGAAATTCTAATGTCTGCTTGAAAATAACATCTTCAAAAAAATGGCAGTTTCAACCCTCTCATTCTACTGCTGATTTATGAACCCTTATAACAAAAAGGTTCTATCATCCATTAGATGGAAGCAGTGGGGTAAGAACTATTGCTCTTAAAATATCAAAAGCTTCCAATAAAGTTTGCAGGTATCTATAAGCTCTATTTGTGTATCTGGAAATATTTTTCAAGTTATTTATCATTTCTTTCCATTCATAGTAATAAAGTCATCCTGATAATTGAAATGATGGTCATTCATTTCATTTCATTCTTTTTTATAATTCCATTATCTATCTCTATAAATAACTTTTTTTATTTGTTTTTGTATGGAATACTGTTGTCATAATTAAGCTGGTTTTTCTAATGGTGACCTTTCTTTTTAAAACAAGGTTTAAAAATGCATTGTAGTTTTACCAAACTTAAACCTTGTTATATTGTTGTAAAGTGTGCAATTCTTTCAAGCAAGAGTTATTAATTTATTCCTTAACCAATATTAACTTTTTTGTAACTCTTCATTCAGCAAAGTCACATCCTTTATTGTAGTTGTTTCTTAAATCTCAAAAAACATAATACAAATATAAAAACATAATACTGTCAATAAAATGTTACAATAAAATAATATTGTTATAAAAACAATTTCCTTTTTATAAATATTTTTCTTTTTGCAGATTTAATTTGTCTTTTCATTAATTACAAAGTTTTCTTCAAGATTTTTATTCTCAAAAGTAAGTTTTGAACGAGAGTGTCTTTAGGAACTTTAAACTTTATTTTACTCCTGTTAGCACTAACTCTAGGTCCAGCTTTTTAATGGCCCATTTTCTCTACTGGCACTTTTTTCACAAATTAAGTCGATGACTTGATCCAGTGTAATGTCTGCCAACAACTCCCTTTCACAGTTTATCAAAAACTTGTGTTTTGACTTTATAAACATTTTCATGAATCTCCACCTCCTATGTTTTGGTTACTGCTTAAATTTTCCATAACATTTTGGATTAGTATTTTTTCTCTTTTCACAAAGCTCTAATTCTATATCAATGTCTGACTCATCTTCCTAAACTACACTGGATACAAATCCAATAAATATTTTTGCTCCTGCACTGACTGGTAAAAATTCTCTTTGGTTTTCTTTTAAAGACTTTATTGCTCCATCAATTTTTCTCCATGTTTAAATTTTGTCAGCATTTTTGGTTCAATTATATTAAATTCGACAACAAGCATCTTATTATATTATTAATTACTATGATCAATGCTGAATAAATAGATAATATAGGTACTAATAGCAATTATAGTTTTTAAATAAATTATCTAGAATTTTATCTAGATGCCCCAAGAAGTCCTTACAGTCTTATTACAGAGCACCACAGATGAGCATTTAATTGGAAGTTCACGCCTTATTTCTAGTTTGATCCTTTAGAGTTTGATCCCTTAGAGTTTGATCCTTTGTTTCTTTAGAGTTTGATCCCTTAGAGTTTGATTCTTTGTTTCTGAGGCAAGTGCACTACTACTGCTCCACGGCTGCTCATAGCCATATCTCATTATTCCAAAAGTAGGCCACTTTTACATTGACTTTTCTGTGTACTAATTTCACAGTCCTGTCTTAATATTACTATTTTATTATATATAAGTATATAACATTAATTAGGTTCACCATACCAAATCTAAAATAGTTTTAACATTATAATCTATTTTCAATTTATTCAAATTATTATAATATGGTATCCTGGTATCCTGGTGCACCAGTACACACCTGAATGGCCCCAATACCTCAGGTGATACAAATGGCAATGGTAAGCATTGAATTTACAGATGTTAACTTATAGTATTGTTGACTTTTGTATTACTTTAAATGTTTCAAACAGATCACATGCATGAGCTGCTATATAATAAATATTTTGAGTTGAAAATTTGTTAATAAAAATAAGCAAACTTTGCTGACAAAAAAAGAAAAAGCATTAGAATAGAAAAAGATTCATACAAGAAAAAAAAGATCCAAGTTTAACTATTACACGCACTAAGATTCACTACACCATGGCTGCAACTAACAGCCGTGATATGTTGCAAATAGATGATGTTCCTGTTAGTATTTTTAGTGTGCATTGTCATGGCCACATAAGGCCTTAAATTAAGAAAATTCAGAACTGGAGGTCTGTGGTTCTAAACTGGTTCTGGCAATATATGCATTAAGGGGCATCCATAAAGTACGTGTGCACATAGGCTAGTGATGTGCCATCAGCAAAGGCCAATTGAGGCTAATGATAGGGTTTAATGTATGTGTATAAAGGTAAGATCTTAATATTAGGTATGCAATTTGCATAAATAAGGTGTGCCTATGCACCAGTTTCATTTAGCTTATTAGCCAATGCCAATACATCGACCAATGCCAATTAATCAACCGATCCCATCAGCCAATGGTTAAGTCAATTAATTGGTTGCTGGTTACCAATAGCATAGGCTAATAGATCGAATCACTTCTGATAAATAGGTATATGCTAAATATGTAATTTAAATCAATAATATTATCTTAATACCCTTAAATAAATACATTAAACCTATTATTAGCCACAATCAGCGTTTACCAATGGTACACCACTAACATATACAAAAGCGTATGGGGGAGAGTTGAATATAAAAGTACGTACACACTAATAAAAAAAAAATCCTTGGCATTGTTTGTTTTTCTAGTTTATCACAACTAACAAGTAATTTGAAAATAAATTTTTTTGAATAAATAACAATTATATATATATATATATATATATATATATATATATATATATATATATATATATATATATATATATACATATATATACAAATATATATATACAAATATATATATATATAAATATCTGTATAAACATATATATATATATATATATATATATATATATATATATATATAAATGTATATATATATATATATATATATATATATATATATATATATATATATATATATATATATATACATATATATACAAATATATATATACATATATATATATATATAAATATCTGTATAAACATATATATATATATATATATATATATATATATATATATATATATATATATATAATATATATATATGTATATATATAATATACATATACACACACACACATATATATAAATATATATATATATATATATATATATATATATATATATATATATATATATATATATATATATATATATATATGAAGAAATAAAAAAAATACTAACTTTTCTAGCTTCAAAAATCCATTGACTATTTCCATCTTCATCTATATAGTTCCACCAGCGCAATCCTACCAACAAACGTCCAGTAACATTTTTAACAACCCAAAAATCAATAGATAACATCAGTACAATCACAACAAATCCTGTTATAAAACTACTTGTTATGAAGTTAAATATGAAGTAAAATATCAATGCAGAAGTGCGAAAAAACAGGTGAAAAAACGATGCATATGGATGCCTAAAAACAAAAATATTTATAAATATACTTTACTAGCAATATTTCTGAATTTTCTAAATAATTGGAACATACTTAAACTTTGTCTTTTTGACTTCATTGTCATCATTACCGAAACTTAGCCCAATATCTTCAGATTCTCTGACATTCATTTATTTGAAAAAAAGAACAATATTATTTATTATTTTAATGTGACTAAGCTAAAAAAAAGAGTTAAATGCAATATTTAGAATTATGCATACATACTAAACTATCAGCATATTAAGTCTACTAAACTAAATTTTAAAATTTTAAACATTTTTTTTTTTACTAAAAAAAAAAATGTTTTGACTTAAAATTCTTCAAATTTTGCCACCTCCTTTTAATTCTAGTTACTTTAAAAGGGCACTATAGAACAGTTTAGGTGTTGTTTTTTTCATAGGCTCTTTCGTTAAATAAAAATTTTGACGTTACTTAATAAAAATAATCGCGTATTTGTATCGCAGAAAAGCCACATAAGAAGCACACAAGTGGTTGCTTAAGTTTCGAAAAAAAAACATTTTCAGTTATTTTTTGATTTATATAAAATAAAAAAGTGTTATTAATTAAAGCTGTGTCCCACAAAAATTTTTCCCGATGCCATTACCGCTACCTAACTTCCGATATTGATACCGCTACTACCGGTGCCAAAAAATGATAGAAACTGCATAACAAAATTTGAGGATTTTCCTTAAATTACGTCACGCAATTTTAGACCGTTTTTGACCTTCACCCACCATCTTACAATATTATAAATCCCTCCTCACTAGAGCGTGACGTAAATTATAGACGAACCTTTAAAAAAGTTTCAAAGAAAATAAAATAAATTTTTTTCTTTGTATCAATAATGCAGTACATCATAAGTAAAATCAACTGTTCTCATGTTAAAATTTATAAATATCAAAATTTTGTGATGAGCTGTTGTTAATCAATTTCTGTTGTTAAACAATTTCAATTGAAGTGATCACACTGAAAAAGGCGGGTAATTTAGGTACTTCATTGGTAGTTCTTGGACATTTTTTTACAATAAAGCTCAATTTCATTGACCTTCAAAACTTCCATTTGAAAATAAGGTTTTAAACATGTTGAGTAACTATACAAGTTAAGGTGGTACACCACCAAATATTCTAAAATGTTCAAACTTAGAAAAAAACAGATGAATTTTTTGTTAATTAAAGTTTCATCAATTGAGAATGCTATTTTAAACTTCATTTTACATTGCCTCGATTACTTTGCCTCGAATTTATCGAAAAACATTCATTTTAATGGGTCCATTCAAAACACGATAACTTGAAATATATTAACACAACATCGATGAAATTTTTTACATATGTTCTAGACATGTAAGGTAAGGTATTGACATTTGGATTTTAAAATATTCCAAGTACATAAAAAATTATATGAATTTTTTTACATCAAGTAAAAAAAAAAAACTTTTTTAGACCTTAAAATTAAAAAAAAAAATTGATTGGAGCAGAATTTAAAAATTTCGAAATGTCATTCCCTAGAGAATAGTATAATAAATATTTCCTAAAAATTTGGAGTGATTAGCACTTCTGCTTCTCAAGATATCATGTTTACAATCAGACAATGTTTCGCAAAAGTTGAAAACGGAGAAAAACGCAAAAGAAGATTAAATATTCTTATCATTCCTATATAATTTTTTTTTAGTTAGTGAACTTATTAAAAAATTAAAAGATATATTGGGAATAAGCTTTTTATATTATTAATCTACAATAAATTGTCTATAAAATGAGCGAAATATCAAAAATTCACTTTTTTTTTCAATTTTCAGAAAATATTTGGTGTTGTACCACCTTAAGTTGCTTAATGGATTGGTAACAAATTTTTTCACGTAATTTCTCGTAATTTTTTGTAAGATTTTTGTGATAATTTTTTTATTTAAAAATATTTTTTATGGTACGAGGTAGTAAAAATGTAGTAGTAGCGGTAGTTGCAAGCAAGATTTGTGTTCTTAACAGAAAAGGCAGTGCTAAGAGAATTTGATAAGAAAACAGTTTTTGCATAAAAAAAATTCCCATTTCAATCTTTCCTTTAGTTGTTTAAGGCTTCCTTAAATTTCCTTCAGTGATATGTCTTTAAAATGAAAATTGTCTGGTGTCTTTCGCCCCACACAATTTTTATTTTTAAGACATATCACTGAATTAAATTATTGAAAACACTTGTATGTTGTGTTACTACAATTTTAAAAAACTTTTTTTTAAAATTAAATTTGAAACTGAAAGATGCTTAAATTACATGTAAATAGCTTAAAAATAATGCGATTACAAACGTTTTTAGAACGAGGCCGCCGTCGCTATCTTATGCAAACTGATATATAAATTATCTAACAATATATAACTTTAAATATTAATTTTTTGAATAATTTTGTAAAAGCTTAAAAGGAACTCAATATAAACCACAAAGCAAAGAAACAAAAACGTCAAATACAAATTAATTTTAATAAAAATTGTTTTACATAAGTTCAATACTATGTTTCAATGACTATACAGCGAGTAATTTATTTGCAGAAACGATAGCGTAGAATCGGTGTGATTATAATTTAACGTAGAATACACAGTAAGTAGTCAGTCCACAATATCGGCCAAATTAAGATATTGATGTCGCCCGATGGAGAAAGGTCAGTTCTATACCTTTTAAAACTAGCCAGGCGGATTTTGTGTTGTATTAGATTTGATTATTTTTGTTGTATAGATTTGATTATTTAACATTTAGACCAAAGTCTAATAGAGACAAAAGTGCTCAGTTACCTCAGTTTTTTGTGGCCGGCTGCTTTCTGCATGACTATGTTCAATTATTTGCAACATTTTTACTTTTACCGTTAGTTTAACTGCAAAATATTTTCTATAGGTAATTAAAAAACGAGTGTTGCGCCTTTTCAATGCCCCCTCCGCCCTATCTCTCCAAATAAACAAAAAAATTCAAATTAAAAAATGATTTATTGATCACAAAATTTACCACATCAAGTGTAAAATACAATTTTTCATTAATGTTACAGATTAACTTTAGTTTAAGTTCACTTTTCTGGCTTTTTAATTAAGTTTGATGACATCATTAGTGAGTTTGCTCTTTTTAATTGGAAGCAAATTCACTAATGAAGTCAACAAAATCAAAATTGTTGACCACTTTTTATAAATGCGCTGCAAAATTTGTGCACGCCATAAAAATGCACTTATCCTACATCGAAATTTTTATCGAAGATAACAGTGAACCATAGTCAGTGGCGAATTAGACTTTTTGGGGCCCGGGGCTATTTTTAAGTAGGAGGCCCCTTTTCATGGGCAACTACGAAAACGAGTAAAATAAAGACTTTCTTTAAAAAGCTATCGCTGATACTTATTCAATTTTTTATATTTATTTTATTGAATTAAGTTAAGTTCAAGTTTAAGTGATTTCTTTCTGCTTTTCTTTTTCGCAAACTCTGCTATCACATCGCTGAAATCCATAGTTTCTAACAATTTTGATTCAATAGCTAATCTTGCTATATTACTTACACGACTAAGGAGCATTGTTGATCGGTACATGTTCTTTAGTTATTTAAGAGCAGAGAATAATCTCTCAGCCTCGCACTTTGTTATAGGAATAGTTAGAAACAAACGATATGCTATATAAACATTCGGAAATACATCAATAATATCGGTTTCAACAATCCAATTTAAAACATGCAGAGGAGTCAATGTGTTTTTAGTTTCAGATATTTCTTTTTTATGAGAAAAAAAATCCTCAAGGCTGCAATTTTAATCATAATATAAATTGTTCTATTTCAAAAATGAAATTATCTTCTAAATCTTTTGAGTACACACCTACAATTTTTTTTGCATTAACTTGCAATTCCATGATACTAATAAATAACAGCTTTGATAGAAATTCAAATAACTTATTTATGTGGCTGTAATCATCACTTTTAATAATTGTGTCACAAGTTCTTATAGTTGTGTCACAAGTTTGTCAAAAATGACAAACTAATGACAAAAAACGTATTCACTTGAAACTTGTCAGATATGTTTAAAGTATCAACTTGGTTTTCTGCATTGCTCAATTTTTTAATTATTTTTCTTTTGTTTTTATCATAATAGTCTTTTTTCAATAAACGAGCTAAGTTTTTTCGATTCATTCTCAAATCTCGTATGTTTTTTACAATGTCAATTACTGAAAGTAACATACTGCTTGTTGTATGCAAACCTAATTCAACTTTTTGAAGAAATTTGCTAACTTCATTAAATCTCTTAAGTAAGTGATTCCAAAGTAGAGCCATGAAAGAAAACTCTAGATTTGTGATCTTATTTAATAAACACACAACTTCATGACGAATATCAGATTTTTCTTTTGAATCCTCAGCTATAAGACATAACGCTGCATCAAATTTTTCTACTAAACTTTTTGAAGCATCTGACCTACACGGCCATCGTGTATCTAATAAGCACTTGAGTGTAGCATGCTTTCCTTTCAATAAATCCCATCTGTGTGTTGAAGTTACAAAAACTAATACAAACTCTGCAGAGCGCGAAAATAATTGATAGAGCTGATGCCCTAACTGACTTTGCACTTCCCTACGAAGTCCAGTGCAGAGGATATAAAAAGCTAATTCTCTCTGCTCTTTTAAACGTGCTTGTAATCCAGAATATTTGCCCGACATATTGGTAGCATAATCGTATGCCTGTCCACGACAATTGCTTATATCAGTATCGTATTTTTCCAGTATATCTAAAATGTCAGTAATCAAGGATTTACCTTTGTGATTTTTAATTTTAGAAAACAAAAAATCGCTCTTACACGTGGCCATTTAGATAATAACGAAATATCACAGAAAGTTGATCCACGTGAGAAATATCAGGCGTAGAATATACGATTTTTTTTTATTTCGCTAATAATGTGCGTTAAAAGCTTTTGAGACATAATATCAATTAGCTCTTCACAAATAGTTTTAGACAAATAAGATATATTACGTTTGCCTTTATTTGCAAAAGTGTCGATGTGTAACTTTAAAATTGGATCAAATTGAGTCAACAGTTCCAACACGTCTAAGTAATTTCCGTAATTTGACGATCCTATAACTTCATTATGGCCTCGAAATGCTAAACCTCTTCCAGCTAAATAACAAATAACTGCTACTATTCTATTTAAAATCGCTGCCCAATAATTAATCTCACCTTTAATCTAGCTTACCATATATTT